TCAGGCAAGAGTCCTGATGATGGGCCAAAAGCAAGAGCTTTGAGTGTAGAGAAGAAAGTATTTACTGCTGCGGTCTGTAAAAGAATGCAGACTGGATATTTGCCCTGCAAATGACACCAAAGAGAAAACACCAATTTTTTTTTCCCCTACTGTCTCTCTCCACTTCTGCCCTGACTCCCTCAGCAGCGTGGTTTCTCCACCCCTTCCCAGTGCTGCCAAACAGCTCCCTCAGATCAGCACATGGTGATATTGGTGGTGTTGGGGTAATCTGTGTCACAGGAGCATGTGGTGACTCATTTTTCCAGGCCCATGGGAGTCACTAATTTGAACTGTTACCAGCTTATTTGGCAACACCCATGGAATGATATGGGAATGTGAAGCTAGGATATGACCCACTCCATAAGGGAAGGACACAGAGCTGTCTCTGCAATTGACTGATTTGTTTGAGCTTCTGCATTGAAGTTCCTGGGTTCTCTGCACGTCATTTGTTCCCTTCCCTCAGTGTTTCTCACTGTTGCCAAATTGATAATCCTCAGTGATGTGGTGGAGCCACCAGTCCTGGTGACAGTGGAATTCTTCCCCTTTTTCATCATATTTGGTAGTACTAAAATATGCTTAATTGATAGTGGCTTGCCCAGTTACTCAGAAAGAGCTACCATGAGGTCCACCATTAAAGCTATCACTAGATCAGTTTGCACAGCCTTTACTAGCAGGAGTTTGCATGAACTCAGTGGTACGAAACACCAGGAAAAGAAGTTGAGCTCTGTAAGTGTGTTTGGATTGTCCTTCCTAGCTATACTCTTGGGGCTGGTATTCAGTGATTGTTGTCTTACACACATAGCCAGAGGCTCCGTGACAGCCTCCTCCCCCACCTTGCCATTTTCACACAGTTTTTGTCACTGGGCTACCCATGCTGAGCTTGCCTGGCATCGCCTCACACAAATGTCAACATTGGTGGACTGGCACCTCCAGATGGGAGCAATCCAAGGCAGACTGTACCAGCTCCCAGGGAGAAGCTCCTAGAAGAGTCTTGACATGTGCAGAGCCTCCCAGATGCCATTTTTGTCACTTTCAGGTGCTGTTTCAACTTGGACTTGGGAAAATGGGCTTTGAAGGCATCTGAGGGAGTGTTCTTCCAAGACAAGTAGACACAGCTGGTTAGTCACACCAAGATGCTGGTGAGTGTTTGATGCACAGAGAAGGTCTCTCCCTCTGGCCAATGTACACCTATTTCTGGTAAGGACTCGATCTCTGAGAGTGGGTACATCCCAGCACACCCACACAGCTGGACCAAACTGACAGCCCAAGATTTTCCAGAGGGCAACTTGCAACTTGACAGCCGAAGTCTTCAGAAACTCCTTTCAGGTGGTGGGGCAGGAAGGAAGTGTGGCAGTACAGCCTTGTCCACTGTGCACTTCTCCCTCCCTCGCTCCCTCCCTCCCTTTCAGCCCTGTCCTTTCTCAATACCCAGGAAAGATTAACTCCTCTTCGCACACCAGAGAAAGTTATTATCATTAATGAAGAATTAAAAGAGAGTGATTAATAAAGGGCCCTTATCTGGCCATGAGGAGGAGGCTGGACAATGGAAGGAAGATGGAGAAAATGAAAAACAATAAATATGAAGCGTAAAAGGAGGCGAGCACTGCTCCCACTTGTTAGATCGCAGCTGCATCTCCTGAGGGGGGAAGGCTCCAAATTGCTAATTACTGCCTCTGAAAAGACCTCGCTCTGATATGTTTTCTGCTGAAAGGTTCCCATTAATGAAGCAGCGATGATGCCGTTTCCCTTTGACTTGCCTTCAATTCCCTCCCTGAGCTTCCTCCCAAGCCGGGAACAATGAGGCCCTGGGAGCTGGCGGCTCCCACAGGCCTCTCGGAGACTAGGCCGGGGGCAGCCGAGTGAGGGGAGCCGAGCCGGCTGTGAAATATGGAGGGGGGAGATAAGGCAAAGACAGAGGAAAGAGGCTCACTCCCAGGAGCCCAGGGAAAATTTGCAGTTATTATGAAGGAGATGAGACAGATTAAAAGCCCTTGTGTTCTGCGCTGCCCTTTTATTTAGTGGCTTCATCTCTGAGATGAAAGAAGTTGGAAATGACTTTCTCCGCATTTTGCTGCAAGAAGCTTCACGGCACATTTTTTGACTTTATTCCTCCCTTTGTCTCTTGTCCCCTTTCTGTCTCTCTTTTTCCTTTTAACCCCTGGAAGGTTTTGCTGTGAAATATCATGGGACTAGGCAGAGCATTTGCTGGGGTAGAGCAATGACCCTGCTGCTCTCCCCATCCTACTGGGCTGTACGGCTCCCGCTGCCCACCGAGGAGGGAGCTGGGCCAAGGCACGGCCACGACAAGCAGAGAGCAGCCAGCCAAGCTCCCTCTCCTGCTTGCCTCAGAAATGTCCCTCACCACTAACACACCCTCTCCTGCCTCCAGGCCCAGCAGCAGTTCAGCACAGGTGACTGCAGCCTCTGGGCAGGAAAAAACCCCATCCTTACAAAGCCAAGTGATGGATAAGAATCCATGTGGGGTAAGAGTGCTGAACATTTTGTATCCCTGGAGCATTTAGTGAGCAAAACTAGTGCTGAGAAGTTGGGACAGTTCTCATTCAGGCAACCTACAAAGTGCACAGAGAGTAAACAATTTGCCAGGGATGTGGGATGAAGTTGAATGCAGACAAGGACTCAAAATTAACTTTTGCTGACCCATGTCAGGGGTCAGGGCCTTGTAAAACTGGACAGAAATACCATAAACGGCTCAAAACCAGATTATCCCAACTGCCTCATTATATTTCTTGAACTCCTATTCCAAATTTTCTAATTTTTCCCCAGACACATCAGTGCTCCTTTGTGGTACCCTTTTAGTTCTTGGGACCCTTGCAATTGCAAGAGCACTTTCATCCTGTCTCTTGCTTTTGCCCTATCTCTCTCACAGAAAACCGATCCTCTGTGCCAGTATGTTGTCTTTACTCACGCCAAATGCTGACAACATCTGCAGAAATTTGAGTCTGAGTGTTGAATGTGGAAAAAAATAATGGATGGGTGAAGTAAAATTTATACCAGTTGCAAAACATTTTGTTGACCTACAGAAACAGCAGAGAACTAGTTGGGAAATGAGGGGAAAACAAGAGAAATTAGAGTGGGCATCTGCTGTCATCTCCCCAGGACATCTGAATACAGGATTTCTTGTACACAATTGTTTGTCTGGTTTGTTATCCTGCCTGGAACAGCAGCCAGTATCGAGTGCTTGAAATGAAGGGGTAAGAAGCTCTGAAGTGATGTTTACAGAATAACCTTCCCATCAGGGGAGTTTCTCTCTAACCCAGACATTTTGTAGCTGTTTTATATCCTGAAGCATGAAAAAGGATTGCAGCGGTGAAACAGGATTAGATTTTAGGAGGGATTTTCTCTCAGATCTGAGAGTAAAAAGAAAACCCCTGTATTGGAAATAGGAAACTGGCAGGGAAAACAAAATGCTGCTAGCAAGTAGGGTGACTTACCACCCCAGAAAGGGTTAAAAAAACAAAAGGACAGAATTGTACAGGCAAATTGGTGCACATAAAGTAACTTTAATCAAGTCAGCTATTGGAAATGGGATTAAAAAAAATCTACCTAATGACTGCTTTTCTTCTTTTAATATTTCTTTTCCAAGGAAATAATAGAGAACTAGAAGGAAATGAAAATGTTAACATGACGGCTCAGACTGGCATAAAGGACTGGTTAGATAAACAGCATGAAGAAAGTTCAGCAAAGCTAAATGAAGCTTGTCCTATTGGGGTGTAGGAATCAATGGCAAACTCAAGGATTCAGTTATTTTTGAACTATCTATCTTGACAAACTAGGGAGGGTGCCAGAGGACTGAGGAAGAGCAAACACAGCGCCAGTCTTTTGTGGTGGGAGCAGGGAGGCAGCAGTGGTCTTGGCAAATATCACCCTTTCAGAGTAACTTCTGTTCCTGACAACGTGATGGAATAAACATAAATGGGGGAAAAAAGTAAGAATACAAAGGATAAGAGATCTGTGAGCAATAGGCAGTAGTATACATTTCTAGAGAATAAATCACGTCTAAATAAATCTGATTACTTTCTTTTGATTTAATTTACAAAATTAGTGAAGAGAATAACTCAAACATAATATAGATATGGACTCTGGAAAAAATTTCGATATGCTGCACTGTAAAATATTACATGAAAAACGAACCGGTATTAGCTTGAATGTGAGTGCAGCTACTTTAGTCAAGAAAACTCCGAACACCCTTATGAAAAAAAAACCCCACCAAAGAGAAAACCAAACCAAACCCAAACAAAAAACCCACTCCCAACCCCCACCCAAAACCAAACAAAAACCAAACGAACAAAACCCCCAAACAAATAAACAAACAATAACAACAAACCCCCAAAAAAACACCCAAACAAAAAAACTCAGCAAAAAAAATCCCTGAAAACAAAACAAAGCAAAACGACGACGAAAAAAACCCACTCAAAACCCGCTGAAGAAGCATCACGAAAGCTGAGAAATAAACGGACTGCCATGCAAAACTAGATGGTGGCAGGTTCACACCTCGCTTTATTCTGATGCCCGCTGGTGATGTGTAAGCTGCCATGATGGGAAAAGAGATGCAAGTCTTAAGAAGAGGGGAGCAGCACTGTGAAGTTTAATTTAGGATGCACATAACCAGCGTGGCAGCAACGAAATGGAGGAGTTTGGGTACCAAGTTTATTTGTTGTCCATTAAAAATGAAATACGACAACCAAGCAGCTAAAGGTTACGTATGGGCAAGGACTGCCCCGGCGGCAGGCGAGGGCGCTGCAATGGCTCCACGGGCAGCACCAGCCGCGGCGTACACACGCAGAGGAGCGCGCAGCACCGCGGCGGCTCGGGGGCGGGCCGGGCGGCGGGGCGGGCCGGCGCTGGCCCGGCCGGGCCGTCAGGGCGGAGGAAGTGGCCCGGGGAGGCCGGAAGCGGCGCTGACGCGGGGCTGGCGAGCGGGGCGCTGGCCGGTGAGCGGGGTCGCGGGGAGGCCCGGCAGGAGGCTGCGCGTCCGGGGCGGTGAGGGCAGTTTTCCCGGCGTTTCCCGGTGAAGCTGGGGGTTGTCGGGCAGAAGCAACGGCGTCTCGCTAGAGGAGGGAGTCAGTGCGGCCGGGTCGCTGAGGACTAAGGGAGGCGGCCTGCGGCAGTGGGTAGTTCACCGGGCTGCAGGTGCGGGTGTTTCTGAGCCCCGGGTGCGGGTGGGGAGAGAAATCCGACGCCTGCAAGGCACGGGTAGGGAGAGGGGTATTGTGAGATGAGGGATTTGGCCAGGACTTTGGGATTGGCGCACTGACAGCCCTGAGGTGTAGGGGTGGTATTTTTCGGCAGTAGGAGTTGAGGCTTGGTCTCCTACACCCTGTTCTAAGGAGCCCAGGGTCCCGCGCGCCTTGCTTTACAGCTGAAGTGATGCTGGCTTGCAAACTACCTGTTTTACCATCTGCTTTACTCCCAGCTTTGCTGCTTCTCTACTTTTTGGAAGACTCAATCTGTTTGTCAAGCAGGCTGATCCTTCTCTGTTGCTTTACTGATGCCGGGTAGCAAAAACTAGTTGCCGGCTTCCATACCCGTTGGGATGTGTAATTAAGCATGCTGCTTCAACACAAAAGATGAACTTTAAGGCCTTTTCAGACACAGAGCAGTCAACCCAACTGCTGCAGTAGAGGGAGATATGTGCCACCATGGCTAGAAGAGGGATTTAACCCTTGCAGAAAGAAGAAGTGTCAGCCTAGGAAGCAGCAGTAGTCCTGCATTGGCTCCTCCCAGGTAACTTCAAAGTAAGTGTCTAACTCCTTTAATGTTACAAAGGGTATAGCACACTACAGTCCAGAGATGTGTTGACAGCAGTATTTATGTCTGGTCCTGATTATTGTCATTTTTAGTAGGCATTGCCAATGGATGAGCTGGTGCACGACTTGGCCTCAGCTTTAGAGCAGACTTCAGAGCAAAACAAACTGGATGAGCTATGGGAAGAGATGGCGCTAAGCCCACGGCAGCAGCGGCGTCAGCTTCGCAAGAGACGGGGTCGTAAACGACGCTCAGACCTCACCCACCAGGCAGAACATGCCTGCTGCTACAGCGAGGCCTCAGAGTCGAGCTTGGACGAAGCTGTCAAGGATTGCCGTGAGGTGCTGACAGCTAATTTCAGTGACTCTGATGACATGGCAGTGGTCAAACGGCATCCAGCTCTTAGTGCCACCCTGAGGAGCAAGCAACACTTGTGGCATGAGTCAGACTCCTTTACAGAGAATGCACCCTGCCGACCTCTCAGGCGCCGACGGAAAGTCAAACGTGTGACATCAGAGGTGGCTGCCAGTCTCCAGCAAAAGCTCAGGGTGTCAGAGTGGAACTGTGAGAGGGGCTGCAGGTTCAAGTCAGCCAAGAAACAGCGTCTTTCACGCTGGAAAGAGAATGCCCCTTGGACATCATCCAGTCATGGCCTTTGCGAGTCAGGAGAGAACAGGCCCTTCCTCAGCAAGGGGGGAAGGAAGGAGCGGATGGAGTGTGAAGCCGATGATCAGAAACAGGGTTCAGATGAAAACATGTCGGAATGGTGAGATCTCAGTTTCTTCCCTGTGCTAGTCAGATGGCTGCCTTGCTTGCAGCTGCTTGTAAATGCTGTGCCTTGCTTTTTGAAGTTCTTAAAATTATTCAGTGCTGCTCTTTTTGTGAAGATGAGAAATCTCTCAGCTGCTTCTAAAATGTAGACTTTTTCAAAGTCTTTCCTGTCAGTATTGTATGATGACCCAGGAAAGTTGGTAAGGTGGTAGGTTTCTGGCTCCTGTTACACAAAAGAGTCCACTGCAATGTCAGTGGCCTTGCAGCTACAACGTGGCACGCTTGTGGCCGGTGGTTCTGGGAGTAAACCCCCAACTTGCACTTGTGTTGCGTGATTGATACGAGCTGATCACAGTTCCTTATTTTCAGCATTTATTATAAGTAGTAGTAGTAGATAACAGATCAGATCTCCCATCATTACTGCTGGCCCTCTGTGCAGGTACTGTGTGAACCTCAGTCTACCTTGCTTGCAGTTCTACATTTCTGCTCTTGACCTGATCGTCAAAGCTTAGCTATGGGGAGAATGTGGTGAGACGATGAAGAAGTTGAGGGGAACTTATGTTACTTACAGAATAAGCCTGTGCAAACAGTGGAGTCTGATATCTTGGTGTCCAGTTTCGGAGAACTTTGATGAATTTGTGGCAGAATCACATACAAGTGATTAAAATGTGACATGTAAATGTCATGGTCTAAATTTGCGTTGCCTTTGGGAATTTTCTTCCCCAACTGTGACTTTTATTCTCTCTGTCTAAGGTTTGGGATCATAAAACTGCTTCTATCAAAAGAGATTTTTCAGGTTAGAAAAAAGGCAACTGCTGAGAATTCATTGGAGGAAATTTCTTAATGAGTGGCATACAAAAAGCAAATGTGATCACTGATTTTCTAATTGTCATTGTGTAAAAACAGCAGACATTGAGGAGCCATTTAAAACAAACAAAAGATATTACTTTTTATGAAAGATGAGGTCTGGAACTCTCTACTGCAGGACATTTTAGAGGTCAAAATTTAAATACATTCAAAAGGGAGATGTGGGGTATAGGCATATCAGGGGCTGTTAAACATTACAGGCCAGATGAAAGATCCCACTCAGGAAGTCCTTAAACTGCTGACTTCTAAAAGCTAGAGGAGCATACAGGGAAGTCTGTGTTTGTCGTGTTCTCATGTTCTTTTCTCAACCAGTGTAGTAGTCACTGTCAGAGGAGGGTGGATTTGAAAGGTCTAACTCTTTGATACAGTATGATTGTTCATATGTTGAGATTCAGTTAAGTGTTGTGACAGTCTAAATCCTGTAGTTTGTCAGAGAGGACAGGTGGCACTTCATTATTACAGCTTTGTGGGTAATAGCTGGAATTGCAAACTTCTCAGTGGTGTTTTCTGGGACCCTGTGAAAAGCTTAGGTTATAGTAAGTCCTCACTATGGTCCAGGGAACCACTATTGCATTTTAACTGGGTCAGTTGTGATTTGTAGTATGTAACTCCTACAGTGGGGTCACTTTTTTATTTTAAGAGTGGCTGTTGTTGCTAAAAAGTGGGTGTGAAGTGGGGCTTTACAATAAACTTGTGAATGGAAACCTTTTGTTGCTAGTTGTTAAAGTAGTTTTATCTTCTCAGAGCTGTTTGCTAGTAGTCCAGGAAAAGAAGCGTGCTAAGTAGCTCCTGAATAGTGCATGTCAGTGGTGATGGACTGAGAGATACCCTTACTAGATCTGGCAGTGATGGACAGTGTTCCTTGAGCTGGTTTTTTTAACACCAGTCAGTCTGTTTCATCATGTCAGACTTGAACTTAAACCAGCAGGCTTTCATCCAGCCTTTATTTGTGCCAGCTTTGGAAAGAGTAAATAAAGAGCTATATCCAGACTGTTACTTGAGGACCATGCTGGGAGATGGCTTTGTTCTGTCTCAGTTGTCCCTTGCTCTCAGACTAATTATTGTGCAAGTGTATGCATCAAATGACACTTACCATCTGCTTGCCAAATCCTTGGGATTCTCTCTGGAAAGCTAGTGCATGGAATATTTGACCTCTCCAACACCACATGTGTGATCTGTGCTGTGACTCACTAGGGAGGGCCCCAGTTGGAGGGAGTAATACATACAGCCCTCTTCACTGCAGAGTATCCCTCACAGCAGTGAAGGATCATGCTGTGGTCTCTGCTGCTCTAAATATAGCCCTTTGCTGCTAGCAGCACAGTGAAACTGCCTGTGTTTGCCTCACTCCTACTGCGCTTTTCTGGTACAGTAAGAGAAGTACTTTTCACAGATGTATGACAAGGGCATATCCTGAGAAAAGGAGAAGAAAATTGGATGCCTGGGAGAGCAAATGGTGTGGTTGCCATCACAAGCTGATGGGACGAAAGGTGACTGATGCTGCTTGTGAGACTTGTAAGCAATCTGTGATGATCTGGTGATTTACAAAACCTTCATACTGAACTGGTTCCACTACTGTTCACTCCTCTGACAGTAGGGAATGTGACAAAACGAAATGGGTTTTCAAACAAACTAAGTTCTGTATTCAGAATGGCTTTTTTTTGACCTTTTTTTTGCTCCCCTACACTGGCAATTTCTTTGGTTTGTTATGCAGGAATGACTCTGTAAGCGCTGAATAACCTGTATTTTCTCTGCTTTCTAGAAGGCTCCTTATCCTAAGTCAGGTCAAAGACCTGTTTATTCAGTTGATAAACTCCCATTCACTGAGAAAGTCTTGGATATGGGTTCTTAACAAGGAAATTGTTTTTTTCCTAGTTTGTTTGTGGGACTATGCCCAGTCCTTTCCTGGAGAAAGATGAGCTGCAGTATTGTGATTCAAGTGTGCATATAATGAAATCTTTGAAATTGTTTGCCAAATATGGCAAAAGGTGAACATAAATTGAGAGAAGGATGGATGTGCAGGAACACAATAAGGAAATGATGATGGTTCTGAATCCATGACCCAGTGCCTGATCTATAAATAACTGTGGAAACAACAAATGAAACAAGTTTTTGTTTAAGCAGTCATTTGTATACTTGTGGAAAGGTGACAATTAGCTCCTAAGACTGTTAGAAGTAATATGCCTTTCTGTCCCTAAATGTTTTGAGATTCCCTGCAGCCATAATAAAACAAAGGCAAATTATATGTTGAGTGCTGAAGTTTTTTCTCTTGTTGATCTAAACTGAGTACTTCCAGAATGGTCTGGGTTTGGTTTGAGGGCAGAACAAACCATAGCACAAGAGCTGTCTAAAAATCGCTTTGAGTAGTGTGTTTACTTGTGAAAAATATGCAGTTGGTCTCATCTGTTTTCAAGTACCAAAACTCTTTCTGTGACTTTTTCAAACCTGGAATTCAGCTGTCCCGCCAATGCTGTGAGATTTCACTGGCTTAATGCTGATGTGTTTGTGGTTTAACCTGGATAGGCAGCTTAGCTCAATAAAGCCACTCCCCTGAAGGGATGAGGGAGAAAAATGGAAGAGTAAAAGTGAAAAAACTCTCAGCTTTAGGTAAAGTTGATTTAGTAGGTAAAGAAAAAGCTATAGTGTGCAAGCAAAGCAAAATAAGGAATTTGCTACTTCCTATCAGCAGCCAGGTGTTCAGCCATCTCCGGGAATGCAGAACTCCATCATTTTTAACATTTGGGAAGACAAACACCACAACTCCAAATGTCCCTGGCTTCATTCTTCTTTTTCCCAGCTTTTATTGCTAAGCACATTATATGATGTGGGATATCACTGTGGTCAGCCAGGGTGTGTTGTCCAGCCTGTGTTCCCTTCCATCTTCTTGTGCACCTCCAGCCTGCTCACTGTCAGGGCAGTGTGAGAAAGCCTTGGCACTGTGTGGGCAGTGATCAGCAATAACTAAAACATCCCTGTGTTATCAACACTGGTCACAAATCCAAAATATAGAACCAAAGTGCTACTATGAGAAAAATTTAACTCTCTGCCAGCCAAACCCAGTACAATGCTCTGGTCTAAGAATGTGACCATCGCTCATCTTGAATATGCAGTTAAGTTGCTTTACCCTTTGGAAGGGAGCTGCTTTGATGACAGTCTGCAGTTGCATTCATGAGTCTGACTAAGCTGATGAATTGGAGGCCAGTCTCTCCATAAAAAAAAATAAAAAAATTCCTCTCTCCTGGAAGGCAAGTGACAAAGACAGAGTGTTCCGCTTCCCCTCCTTCTCCAGCCCAGCTGACCTTCTGCAGCCCCTCGGTGCCTCTTGTTTTCTTATTTTTATAGAAAATCAATATCCCTCCTGACACAAACAATAGCTCAGGCAAAAGAATAAATGGGGAAAACCTGAGATCTCTGTCCATCAGCTCTCAGTTTAACTCCCCCAAACTATTTAATTATAAGCATGCTTTGCTTCAGGTGTTTGCGACAGTGAAATTGCTAAATGAGGACCATTTTAACCAAAGATTGGGTGATCAATAACACTCTATAGCAGTAGCTTGTCGGATCAATAGCATTCATTATTTCATGGTTAAGGTAAGTAGCCTCCTTTGCAAGTGGAGGTCATTAATCAGTGCTTACTGGACCTGCAGAAAGGCCTGCACAGGAGCCTAGTTTGTGTTCAGCCCTGCAGTGTAAAAGGAGTAGTGAAGAGGGTGAAATCCCTTCAGAAAGTTTCTTCCTGTAAAGCACTGTCAGTGATGCTTATCTGTAAGGAGCTAAAGAGCTCTCAGTGCAACAGGATGCTTATAAAGTACTGTTAATATGACCTGGATGCTTGTCAATGCTTTTTCCTTTCTCAGGCACCTTTCCTCTGAGGATGTTAAAAACCTTATGAAGCAGTCACTCGGTCCTCACATCTGCAGCTTGTGAGGATTGTTTATCCAAGCTATCAAAAGGGAAAGCAGGCACGCTAAGAGATTGGCCCAGGGTCATACAGTCAGTTGGTAGGAGAGCTTGGGATGAAACAATTAATTCATGGTTCTCAGTCCATGGTCTTAATTGCTGTGGTATATATTTGGGAGGATGAATGCATGGTCAGGCTTTGTAATGGATTATTTGGAATTTGATATTAACTTGCATGCTATAAGGCGAGGATGGTGTATAGATTGTTCATCCTTTAGGTATAAATGGCCTTTATACAATGATGAAGATGCAGAATTTTAGATATCCAGCATGATGTGTTGACTTGACTGTACTTTAGAGTGCATTTTCTAAGAACAACAATATGCTCACAAAAGAGAGTTTTATTCTGTGCCTGCAGTTCTTTGGAGTGATGTGTTTTGTGGTCCCTCATTATTCAGCCTTGTAAATCAGGGGTTTCCTGTATGATCTCTAGTATGATCCAGTTTCCCTGGAAGAGAGGCATCCAGAGATACTTTCAAACAGCGTTCCCTGATTGGAGACTGATTCTAGTGCTGACTTACACCTGGTGTTCACATCTAAGGTCTTAGTGCTCAGGGAGTAGGCAGTAAGTACTTTCTGCTTGTCCTAGTATCTCTCAGCTAAATCAGAGGAAGTACTGCCTGAAGTGTCCAAGGAATGAGTTCAAGTCAGCATTCAAGCCTTCAGATGCTTGGGACTGACATAAGCAGATACTTCTGCTACAAATATTCGTCTACCTTTGCAAGTCAATTAATGGCTTTCTACACATTAATTTTTAGCTCTGTTCTTTTGTTCAAGAATTAAATCTTCTCTAACTGCTTCAGCGAATGCAAAGCATGCTATGACAAGGTTGCATTCAGCAGCAGCAAGTCATGCTGTGCTCAGGTATTTAGTTGGAGACTTGTAAATGTCACAGCTGCTCTTTACTCCACATAAAAGTTTCAGGCAGGGGGGAAAGGCTATTTGTGTGACAGTGTAACATTTTTGAGGAAAAGGAATTTGAAATAGAAAACTTAGGAGGGTTTTCAGTTAAGTACCCAAGGACAGTGTTTTTAACTGCGCTTAATTTCCTGGTGAGTATTTCAGATGATGCCATAGTTAGGTTATTAATTCTAGTACCTGAGGCAAATGCCATTTTATTAATTACTTCTTGATAACTTACAACTAAACTAGATGCAGGATTCTACTCTTTTTCAAGTGATGCAGCATTGGTAAGTGTTAACGGAAAGCAGTTACGTTCTGTTCTAGAGCCAGTCATGTAGCTGAAATTCAGTTTTTGTGAGACATGTAAAGCATTTTGGTCTTGGGGAAGGTAGTAAAATGCAGTAGAGTGGTTTTTGTATTGTGCCTGTTGCAATTGTAACCATGCTTTTTTCTCTGTTTTTGTTCCAGTGAAACCAGCAGTGTTTGCAGCAGCAGTGATACTGGCCTGTTTACCAATGACGAAGGCCGCCAAGGTAACAGGTGTCCTGTGATTTTCCTCTTGTGCTGCTAGGGAGTTCCTTACTTTCCTTACAAATGCAAAGAAAGATCTGTGTTTGAAGAGAGGCAGAGAGGGAATTGTGTGAAGAAAAACCAGTTGCAGGGAGTGGCTAGAAGTTAAGCAATGAGATGAGGGCTACAAATGTATGATTTTCATAACACTACACTTTTTCTAATGAAATTCTTTGTGTATCAGATCCATAACATTTGCAATATAAGAAACTGTTATTGTGGGAAGTCACAGACATACAAGAGGAATGTGAGAGCTCTTCATAATGAAAAAACACAGTTTATGATTTGTTTCTCTAGGTGTTTTAAGGGTTGTCTGCATACCATTAGTGCCTGAAGTCTGTTAGTTGTTTTCTCTATGGGCAGGAAGAGAAGATGGGGAAAAAAATTAGTTAATACTGACAAGTCACCTAATAGACTGTGCTAAGGAGATGATGGTAATATGTGATATTTCTTTAAATATGTGTTCCTCCCTTGGTCTTGTGGGCATTATTTGAACATTGAACATTGTATTTTCAATGTCTGTTGTAGAAATGATATCTTAGGAGTTTTGAGTGTGAAGTGCAGTCTGGTTTCATTTATCAACCACAGCACTGTGCTCAGTTGATGGCAGAAGTAAGTATGAAACAGGTTGTAGTAGGCACATAGGCATTGAGGACTATTATATTTAGAGCACGTGGAATGTGACCCTAGAGACCTGCAATTCTGTGCACTCTGATTCTGTCACATTTCACAAACTAAGATTTGGATGAGATCTCTTCTGGGAATACGAGTGCTAAAGGAAGTAGCACCAGTAGCTCAATAGGATATGCTGCTTCCACTAGCTTGTTAATGGCCCAGGTACCTGTGTGAAGCAGCACAATGATAGCAAACATGCTTATGTGTTTTCTGATGGTGTTTTAGGCTGTAGGACCAATCTGTGATCTTAGTGGAGTATAATACTTTGCTTAAGAGTAGGGATTTCAAACATCAGCTTTGACCTTTGCTGAAAAATAACTATTTCCAGACTCTGGTTCTTCAAAGGCAACAGAAAAGTAGAATCTTTTGCCTTCTCTTTTTACTGATGATTGTTCAGGGGGAGGTGAAATTAGTGAGCTTGTGAAATTAGTGAACTTTTATATTAGATGACAAAGCAGAGTGGTGACTGAAGTGTTTTACTTCATCACCTGAGACAAGATTGATGGAGACTGGGTAGTGTATATATATACTTGTCTATATGCTTGCCCTATAAACTTGCCCTGATTTTATACCCTGTTTTAGACATTAATTTTTGGCTGCTGCTAGAAGTAGGATGCTCAATATACAGAAATATGTAGAAATATGACTTAGATAAATTAATAAAGTCCAATTGCAGCCTTCCCTGTCCAGGTAAGAGTAGAGGTTTGGCGTCCTTGTCATAAGGTCTCTCTCTGTTGAAACAGTTGATACTGTGATAGCTTTCTGGCCAAGATGTTTTAGCTTACAGTTATGTTAAAAGGGTTAAAAATATTGTTGTACTTTCAGACTAAATAAAAAATACCTAATTTTCCTTTTTTTTCCTTGGCAATTCTTAGTCATAAAACAAATTAAAAAACAACAGCTTTCCATGTCAGTGAGATGGTGAGAGCACAATTTTTTTTTGTCACAGGTCATCACCTTATAAATAGTTTTCCAGCACAATTACAGGCTGAATAATGGGAAACATAATCTGGCAGCATTCTTAAATAAATGCAGGGGTTTTCCTTCCTTCTTCTGAGGTTGCCTCGTGCAAAATTTGTGCTGTTGCTAATTAAATAAATCATCTTTGCAGCTGCACATACCAGCATGCTTCTGTGAGCAGAAAATGATCCTAGTTCACAATTTGATTATAACGTGGGTTTTTTTGGTTTTATTTTGTTAACATGCATTGGGCTCTTTCACAGTGAAAATTACTGAATATTAGCATATGATGCTGATGGTTAAAGTCTGTCTTGTGGCAACAGTGATTTGAGGTAGACAAGGCACTATGCTCAAATTTCTGGGAGTAGTTTTGCACAAATTAAGATCTCTTAGAAGAACTATTCTACATTACTTAGTTTTAATTTGCTATGAAGTGGAGATGGGATTTTTATACTTTAAGATAAAACTCATAGGTCAACTTGATGCATGACATAAAAAACAATGTCAGAGCTTTGGGATAAAGTGTTCTGGCTGTCCTCCCTATTGCTGATCAGAGTTGGTTTTGTGTGTTGCTTCTTCTGTTATGTGCAAGATTGCAGCATTCTTACTAGGATGAGGTTTTTTACTTTCTTGTGGGTTTTTTTTTTTCTTTTTTTTTCCCCAGCAAGATGTGTGAGTAGACATAATGGGCTTTGGTCAGGAATAATGTAAGTCAGTGAGGAAAGGAGAGTAGGTGGGGTTGCTTGAGTTGAGACTTAATGGTAGGCAAATGGGAATTTTCCCTAAGGTAGGTGTGTTAGTTTTTTAAGCTCCAAGATAAAGCGCCTTGCAATTACATGGGACTGTTTGTGAGTTGGGCTACTGAAATGCTACATGTGTCAGGTTCTTTGCTCTCCTCCTGCTTTTTTTTCAAACGCTGCTAATGTGTTACTGCTCTCAGGGAATTTCTGGCCAGACATATTTACTATGAACAGTGTCTCATGCAGTTCAGTTTTAGACTGCAGCTGCATTAAATACAGCGACCCAGCTCTGTGGAGACTTTGGTCATGACTTCTGTTGTTGCTGCCTTAGTTTTCCAAAGGGTTTGTAGTCCTTAGAGATTATAAGAAGTTGATTGAGAGCAACTCACAGCATGGTTAGTACTTACACTCAGAGTGACCATTTCTGATAATTATGTGTTTTTGTCTTAGCTGCTGTCTTAGGAGGCGAGGGGTCCTTCTCATCAGTATGTTTCTTTTGCTTACTCTGTGAGCCTGGTCTTCCACTCTTGTGAAGTTTCTTCTGTGACAGCCTATAACATGTGCCAAATGATTGGCCTCTACTGGTGTCACAGTAATTACTTCAGAGAAAGAGTTCTGCATAAGACATCACACAACATTGAACTAGGGTTGATGAGATGCAGTAGCAACAGAGTGCTAAACCTGCCCTAGGCATGTCTATAAAGGGGCTTTGTTCTATAGGGAAATGCTGGAGACTGATGAGTTGGATAGTTTAAAGCGTTTAGTGAGGCCCCATAGTTACTGAGGATCATTGAAACTGAATACAAATATAAGGTGCTCCAAGAATGAATTCCTAATGAGACTTCAACTGTTTTGCATTCAGATATGCCTACTTTTAGTATTTTGAGGAAATGTCCTAGGGTACCTTGATGTTATTTGTGGCTAATTCCATCCTATTTCTTTAGGAGATGATGAGCAAAGTGATTGGTTTTATGAGGGGGAGTGTGTTCCAGGATTCACTGTCCCCAACCTTCTTCCCAAGTGGGGAGCTGATCACCGGTCTGAAGTGGAGAGGATTGACTCAGGCCTGGACAAGCTCTCTGTTTCCACCTTCCTTTTGCCCTCACAGCCAGCTCAGAGAGGTGAGTCCATAAGGAATTGTGTTTGAGAACTTGTGATAGGATGGCAAGAGTAGATTCTTTTCATAGGTGTTGCATTTAAACTGGTATTGGTGATTGGTTTTGTTTTGCTTTTTTTTTTTTTTTTTTAAGATCCAGTTAAGAAAAAGCTGCACTATTGGCGAGTTTACTGAAATAGTCATACCAGCTGCCCATGGGCAGTCTTTCTTTTTTTAAATGTAAGGGTTTTATTTGATTTGTGAATGAACTGGCATATCTACATCTTCGAGACTGAAAAACAAGAGACAGAGGATCTGATTTGATTACTGAACTAAGGCATTTTCCCTGAAGGCTTTTTCAGGAGGCATCTTCTGTGTTCATTGCTCAGTTTTTCTGCCTTTGGTTTTCAGGATTTCATGCTCGCCTGAATCGCCTTCCAGGAGCTGCCGCCCGTTGTCTCCGTAAAGGTCGAAGGAGGCTGGTTGGCAAGGTATGCCCTTTTGAAAGATGGTGATTTTGTATTTCAAATTCTGGTCATTCCTGAAGTACTATTATAAGATACCACGTAAATTGTTTTCTGCAGAAAGTTGTCCTGTATATTTTTTGTTTCATGTGTTGTTTGATTTGTTTAACTGCTTTGACTGTCAGATGATGATTGAGCGACTAAGTGGATTTTAAGTCACATTTGGAGTGGCAAAGACAGCTGATCAGCGCTGAAAGCTGTATGAAAGGAGGACTGAAGAAGAATGTCAGGGAGCATAAATATCAAGAAGATTTAGACAGAATGTAAGGGAAAATGATGATGGCATGAGACTTGTGCATGCTCATCTGAGACTACAAGGGCAGAGATGTGCCTCAAAGGTGAAGGAAGGCCAAATTTTATATAGGGAAGAAGACTGATATGAATGGCAGCAAAGGAAGGTGGTTTTAGCAGTTGCATTTTTAGTGGGAAGACAGGAGAGTAAAAAGGTATATGCAGTACATGGAGGCAAAGCTGCCCAAAGCTCTTGACTTATTGTATAGTTTTATTATATATAGGGAAAACACCAAACAACATATCAGTCCTTTCTCTAATAGAACAAACAATACTTTGCAGATGTCTGTCTAAAAGAGAGGGGTACACCTGGCTGGGTCTGCATCATGGAGTATTGAGCACTGCTGTTTGTTATAAGAGGTGGTTCTGAGAAGGAAGGTTGCAGCTGGAAGGTGTTGGCTGTGTTTGGCTTTTCTTTTTATTGTGATGTGCTCTGTACTTTTGAAAACATTAGCATAAGTTCTGAGCTGGCTGGCTGTAGTCTGCTAACAAGGTGTGTTAGGGGGGCTGGAGTCTAGAGGAGTGCAACAGCTGCCTTCTGTTCAGTCATACTTGAAAGATCCTTGTCTGCCCCTTCTTTCTTCCACTCACCTTGCTTAATTGTAACCGGCATTCAAAATATGAATCCTCAGCTGGCAAGAAACTGACTTTACGTAGGGTTCCTGAGGCCACCTGCAAGTGACTGGGCCTGGCGGCACACCTCTAATGATCCAAATGAGAAGGATAATATTTACTTGTTTAATTCATCTTCATCACCTTAAAGGGATCTTTGTCATTTGCAGTGGAGGTCACTGCTCCCCCTTCCCCATCTCTCTCGAAATTGTAATCATAAATAATGAGTTTCATTCAGAGCTCCCCGCCAGCGAGCTGCTAATTACCAAAAGTACTGCTTGTAATTTACACAGTAATAAACTGTAAATTTAAACATTATGGCACTTTAAGTTAATAATTTTCCTGCTGTAACAAATAGCCCATCTTTCTTTCACCCCTGCTGCTACAGCTGCCCCCAAACGTTGAGTGTGTTTTGCCTATATACCTGGCATAAACAAACCTTACCCGTGGAAGACTTTTGCCCTCATCTTCAGCCCCTTGCTGAAAAGTCTGCTTCTTTCTTGGAGGCAGTTGCTATGCAGATGTGAACAGCTGGTGCTTCAGGCTGTGCGTGTACGTGTATGCCAGCATTGAGCACATACTCAGGGCAGCATCTTGCAGGAAGCAATATGCTCCCAGAGCAAGCCCTTTCTCCCAGGATCTGCCTTTTCTTTAGTTGCTAGAGATCCTGCTGCTGAATTGCTGCTTTTAGAAAGGGCAAAAGCATCATGCTTTCACTCCTTAATTTTTTCACTGGTGGTTGATGAGTCTCCACTGTTAATGGAACAGTGTAGTGTCCTATCTCAGCCTGTTTCTAGCCCAGCTGACCCCAGTAACATGGAATGAAGCACTTCCCAGCCATCTCTCCTGCTCTCATGCATCCTTGTGCTGCATACTTTGTTCTAGTCCGGTTTGTGGTGTGCCCCTCTGCAAGCAAATATCATTACTAAAAATAAAAAGCAAGCCTCATAAATAAAATTGAATTATTTTCTGCCATTCTAATTAGTTAAATCATCTCAGGTGAAGTTCTAAAAGGAAGGAGTGAACATGGTTAGCTGAGAGTAGGCTGGTAAGGAAAGGATGTGACCTAGGGGAGTAAGATTTATTCTTACTGGCAGCAGCAAGCTATTCTCTGCTCACTGTGTGAGAGTTTGCAACCTTTTGCCTGTCTTTGTGTTTCAGGAGACCTCCATGAGCACTCTGGGCACCGAGCGGCTAGGTCATATTGTTAGTGATCCGCGCCAGAAAGAGTAAGGCTCTTAACAGTTGGTGTATACAACTTTGGGAAGGGAAGAAGAGCTCTTCCCTTCTGGGGGTGAAGAACATGAAGAACTGGGTGGACAGTTAAGCATAACCTGTGGAATGGGAGACAGAATTCTACTGATGGCTTCTCTGTTTTCTTACCCTTAATTGCTGACCTCCCCTTTGTTTTATATATATATATATATATATACATATATATACATATATATATGTATGTATGTTTGTATAAGGCTGCCCCAGTGTGTGGACGCTACTCAAATGCTCTTTTTTACAGTCCACTTTTTTTTTCATCCTCCCTTATAATGTGCCGTTGCAGTAACTACAGATCTTTTGGACATTAAGAGAAGACTGAGCCCCATATGTTCATTTATTAAAATGCTTCTTTGTGGAGATGTACTATGGAAGCATACCCAGACTGCAGAAATGATGCTGACAAGGCAGCTGTGAAATTACTTTTTCTTTTTTTGGTGTTATATCTCCTTCCACAATTAGTGCATTTATATTGTAGTCAGCACTAGAAATAGTCTTGGTGCTTATCCGTTGGCATCTCCCTAATGCTGTACTGGGGAATGGGTAGGTGAGGATGGCATGTCTTGACTGTAGTGCAGTGGGTCCAGCCTTCACCAGCTGTTGATACCTAATTTTCTTCCTTGATCTGAAATTTGTTGTTTTTAATATGACTCCTGATGATGTTTAATCTTTTTCCTTGTCCCTCCATCTTTGTTCTTCCCTTCCCGTTGTTTTCTCCCCCCTATGTTTGTTCCTTGGCATTGTGCCCACCTGTCCTTTCGACTCTGCCTCCTTCCAGTTTTTGGTTACCATCCATGGGGAAGAGAGATCGCAACCAGGTAAGAAGACTCTGCTTTTCTTTTTTTTATTTTTTTGGTTTCTTTCTCTCTAGAAAGAACACAGTGCTGGCTTCTGATTTCCCACACACTGTGGCCTGTGCACTTGAGGTAAGGCAGTCCCGTCCCTTCTCATTTTGTTAACTGGTGTCTTCTGGACTTTGAACACAACCCATTTCCTGGGCATTGTATTGTCTATTTAAATTGGATAGCTCAGGAACTCCTTTTATTTATCTCCCTGTTTCAGGTTAGTGTTTGCCATCCCTTCTGAGTAGGAGGGAAAATGCCTCTTGACAGGAGGAGCTTTGGCCTCTCAAAATTACAGAAGAATTGGACATTTTTCTCTTTTTACATTTTTTTCTGCTTTGTTTTGCCTTGTTTGGCTCAGGCTTCTACCTGATAGTCTCATCCACAGAGAAGGGAAAAAATGATGAGCTTAAATTATGTAGTTAAATAGCTGTAACAGGAAAATGTAAGAGGTGATAAGCAAGAGAAATAGGCATTCTTGTAACTGAAACTCTTGTGTGTGCACTTTTATATTCTCCACTAAGTCTTTCTTAGCTTCAGTACTAAGAGATTTTTTTTTACTTTAAGATATAAAAGCTCAGGTTCTTGATAGCAAAGAGCAAAAAAACCACTCTTCCGTTTGAGCAGTCGTGTTGTAGCAGTGCTCCTGGCCATGCACACTCCTTTCTATTCCTATATGAGTTGTTTTATGGTTGGTGAACAGTAGGACTGATTTTTTTTTTTTTTTTTACCTTTCAGGTGGCTAAAAATGCATATATGGCAAGAAATAATTTTCAAGCCTTTGTGCAATTTTGTATTTTCCATTAGTGAGAACATTTTACAGATTGCTTTTATATTGCTATAATAATACTCTTATCTAAAGATAAAAGTAACTACATAAGCTTTAAAATGACAAAAGTAAGTAACTTTTGTTTTTCTTAAATGAACTTGAGTCAGCCATTCCAGTAACAGAGAGTTCCTGGTGATTTTCCCTACTGTGCAGTTGCAGTGTTACTGACAGTAAACAAGCAGTCCCACTCAAGGAGGTGCTCCCTGATAGCAGCAGCTTTGTGGTGCATCTTCTTTCTCAGAAAGGTGGAGGGTAAAGGTAGTAGTACTGAGTTCTGAAGTTGCAGACAGCTTGTATGAGGAGTCCAGCTACAGATGTGGATTGTTTCTTTGTCCTTATTTAAAAATTCATCAGTAATCCTAGTAATACAAGAAAAGTGTTCTGGAGATTGCTGTAGCACTTTGCAAAGCAGATGGAAATTCATTTCGTGCTTGAGGTGTGAATTATAAATAAAGAGGAAATGCTGAATGGAAGTATAAAGCAGGTACCCCAGAGAAACTACCAGTCTAAAGCTTCTATTTACATATTGAGCAAAATTTGTTCCATGCATTGATTGATCAGTTTATTCCATTTCTGTCCTGACCATTAAAAATCCTGGCCATTGTATTTTGTACAACAAGCTGTCTTGCACAGGTTTGATGCCCTCAAGATTTGTCTAGTGTATGTCTAACAGAGTATCTTAGAGTAGCCTGACCATGCATTGTTTCAAAAATTTGTTTTAAGCAGTTTGCAGAGACAGCTTGTGAGGTTGGAGGGGAGTGAAGGAGCAACTAACTTGCCGTGGAATGAATTGAGTGCTCATTGTGAACTTAACCTGGTGGGTCTGAGTCTTCTAGAGGTCTGTTTCAGTGATGTACACAGCCCTTGGGAATACAAGAACTGCTCTGTGCTTGCACAATTCATAACAGTGACTTTTTTCTCTGCAATGTGAAGGAAGACAAGAGGCTTTCTGAAAGAGAGGTAGATTTTTTTCTCACAGCATGCAGCAATAGAGCACTTATGCTCTTAATCAACCAGCATTTTTAATAATGCAAGGTGGAAGAGGAGTGTGCTGAGGCTGTCTGTTGTGAGAAGGTGGTTATCAGATTTGCTGTTTCACCCTTTGTGCTAGCCTTTTGTCTGTTCTGATCTAGTCTTACCCCTTGAGGTGTCAGAAAGGCCTCCTTCTACTATGTGGACAGCTGAAAGTCTCCTTATACTGTGTGAACAGAACAGATCTGAGGAGCTTTATCTGGACACTATTTCTTTTAATGCTTTGCTTAAATAAAATCTCTTGACTTTCCAGTTCAATCCATTATCTCCTCTGTACTCTCTGGATGTGCTTGCTGATGCTTCCCACCGAAGATGCTCACCAGCACACTGCACTGCCAGGTAACTCCCTTGCTCTGCTTTCTTGGGGTTGTCTCTCTTCCCTCTCCTGGATGTCTTCAGTAGTACTGTGTGATCTGAACAACAATGGACTGCAACTTAACGTACTTTTCCCTGGGAAGTCCATGCCCAAACTTAGCACAAAATATAGCAATGCAGTTTATTTGAGAATTTCAGTGAACTAAGTGCTTACAGTATATCAAACAGTGTATGACAGACAGGCAGAACATACTGTTCCTTTAGAAATAACTGCAATGTGTTTTGCAATGTGCAATTAGTTGCTGTAAGTCTGTTTTATAGATACAAATGGACATAGTATCATTGCCCACTATTAAAATTGGAACAAGATGAGAGGGAAAATGCTGACAAACTGGTGTAGGTGACATGCTGAAGCATTTTGCTATCCTAGGTGTCTAAAATAGACCCTCTGAGCAGATCAAGAACTCACCTGAGGTGACCTCTAGTAGCTTGATACCTCTCTGTAGCAATAGCTGAAATTTAGATCTGGTTTGGCCAGATGTTAGGTATATTTGAGTCTGCATATTTTGGGTTAATATACTATTCAGGCACCTTCTGCTGACTAATCCTAAATTAAATTCAAGTGTTGGCCTTAGAGGTGACTCCTGTTTTTGTGCTGCAGGTGACTGTCTAAAGGTAAGGTGCCCTTGAGCTCTTTTTCTGTGCAAGTAGACAAGGCCTTGCTTTGGACACAATTCTGCTTATGTGCTTGTACCAGGGGCCCAATCTGAAAGAAATCTGAAATCTGAAAAAGTCTGGACTTTCAGCTTCATGGCTTTCTTTCCCTTGTTAATTAGCAAATAGAGCATGAAAAATGTACTAAGGTTGTATGTGTCTGAAGAGAAGCTTGGCACCCACCCAGCAAAGCCTCTCTTCCCACTGGCTTCTGCAGGGAATTTTGCGATGTCGCACCATGACCTCATGCTGCTGTAGCCAGCATGTTAAAGCTGGAAAAGGGGAGGGAGGAAGAAATCAGCTCTTAAATGTTCAACTGGATGAGAATAAAAGGAATTCAGAAGATTGTGCATCAGCAAATTGATTCTTTTCTGTGCTTTTGCCCCACTCTGGGGATGTTTTCTCTCTGTGAAGCAAGAAGATTGAAAGGTCTCTTCATTTTCAGCTAGGCTAGCCTTTCTTTTGCCTCCAGTGTTTTACTTGGTGCTTTATAGAAGTTTGTCTTCCAGAAAGGTGAGCTGGACAAATCCTGCTTGCAAATTCAAACTGGGCAAAATTTCTACCTTTATGATGGTCAGTGAAGGCCCTTTCCTAAGCCAAGTTCTTTGCAAGGGATTTCTGAATCTGGAGGGATTGTGTTTGCTAGGTTTTTGTGGGTGTATAGTCTAGTTAACCAGTTAATATATATGCTTGGTTCCTTCCTTTAATGAAGAGGTGGCTGGTGTTCTGACAAACATAATCACTCATGAATTGTTACTGAGTTGACAGAGAAATTGTACCATCCCAGATGCAATTGTGTTTTTAAATGCCTGGAATTTGAGAAAATAGTTCCTATTTTAGTGTGAAATGTGCTCAAGAATCTTTATAGGAGAAAGAAATATGAAAAGAATGAATGTGGCTCCATGTATGTGGCAAGGATTGAACTCTTAAGGGCACAGAAGGAGATTGTTCCTTCAGAGAAACATCTTCTTGATAGTTGTTCTTCTTAGCTTTACATGCCAAGCCCACTTGTTAGTAGTCCATTTTCTTACAGGACGTTCAGCTGATCTCTGTGAGCTCTGACAAGCTATTGCCCCAGTTAACATCTGCTTTTGCCATGTATGGAATCAATTTCAGTAGTTTGTGCTTCAGGAAGCTTCTAACAGCTTCAACTCATCCTGGAGAAGTTCTGCTCTGAAATTTACCAGAATGGGATGTGTGTGCGTGGGAAGCAAATCCTCTCAAATAATATGAAACATATTAGAAAAGACATGGTCTTGACGTTGTGGCCATCCAGTTTCTTCAACCTGATGCTTGCTGTGTCGTGCAAAATCTCCTTTCTCTGCTTTGTTTCTGCTATCACGGAGTGTGTCCAGTGGAGTATATTTACCAAATGGAGTCTTTCTCTGCTATGGAACTGTTTTCTTTGTCTCACTGGTGGATTTTAGTGCAGTTTATCTGGAAGACTGGTAACCCAGTACTTTTGCTTAAGCAGAGCTGAAGGCCAGAATACTGAATGCAGCTGAGGATTGAGAAAGAACCTCTTCCTTGACACTGACAAGCCTATGTAGAAGGTTCCTTGGGAAGCCTTATTTGAAAGGCAGTATAAATCCTACACTACCTTTCTTGATTTATGTCTGTGATGAGAAGAGCTTTCATTCAAAGTGTATGCACAGCACTGGGAATTTCACACCTATCATTAGAAGCAGTTTTGTGTGTGTGGTGACTGTTATCATTAGTGGTATAATTTTATTTTGTGAAGCAAGGAGAGTTTTCTGCTTTCTTGCAGTCTTCCCTAGGGATGGCTGGTGTATTAATTTGCTGTATTGCCTCCTGGCTGTTCCCAGACTGTTTTTCCTCTTCATCATGGAATTTTTAATGGCCCTGCTGCCTCTCGGGAGGCATGCAAGGAAGAGTACCTCAGGGATCTCTTCTTTTTTCACATGCCTATAATTACTCTCCTTTAAGAGCACAAAACGTTTGCTAATCATGTCTTGTCTGTTAAGGTTTCGACTTCACCATGCAGACTGCTAAAAGCAAGCAAGTAGAGACTTACACAGGCAACTCAAGGGATCCTTCCTCTTTCCCTCGGCCTGTTTGCCTCTCTGGGAGGAGCAGTCTGAACAGAATTTTGTTGTAGAGCTTCTTCTACTTAAGAGGATTTTGTATAGGCTGAAGTTGAATATTTTATTAGATGTTGGTTATTCAATATTCTGTAGCTGAGAAGATGTTGTAGGTTGTTGATTGATGGAATGCTATTCCCTTGAGGCAGGCATAAGAGTTTCAGAAGAGCCTAGAACCAGTGTTCCCTTTGATTTGAATAGCAGGCAGAATAAGAGAGGAAGGTAGAAGATAAATTGTCCCTAATGTCATTTATTATTTGCCTAGCCTTGAAAACAGGATTATGAGTGAAAAAAAGCAATTAAATGTTCCCACTGGAGGTCATAGGAAAAGTGGACCTTGGATGGCAGACAGATGTTGAAGGTGGAGACTTGAAGGATTGTTTTAGACTTTTGAACAGCACAGATAAAGAAAATTGCTTTGCATGTACTCTGTTAATACTAACTGTGAACCTAGAGTTTAATCTGATTTAGAAGCAAGTCTGTCACCTTGCTTGGAACATGGCATAAAGATGTAGAGGCATGAGTGATCTCCTCATTTACTGCCAGTTGCCCCATGCTTTGGGTTTGGTGGTGCTGTTAAATTGAACACACTTGAATGTCTCAAATTTCAGTTCCGGCTCTAGAAGTGTGAAAATAAATATTGTTCTGTCACATCTGCATCTGTACACAGAGATCTTGATATTTCTGCCTCTTACCCAAGCATGTGGAAGTACAGGGATTGCCTGCAAGGTCAGGCCTTTTCTGAGGCAGCTGAAGGAGTGAACAGATGTCCACAATTTCATACTTTCCTGCTTGAGCAGGACAGTATCCAGTTCATTGTAGGCAACCTTTCTCCTTATTTTTTTACTCTTTTTCCATTTAGCTAGAGGATTTTCATGTCTTCCTTTGCTAAAGCCTGGCTAACATTCCAGTTGGGAATATAACTGAATTCTTCTGACAGGCATGCAATGAACAGCAGCTATCAACCTAGTGTCACATGCAGTTGACTGGGGCCTAATATTCCCATTTTGATGAATCCTAATTCTCTGGTGTGAAAAATAAATTCCCCTTGGCTTCAGAATTTTTTCTTTTTTGCTTGCTATTTCAAATCTGTGTACTCAGCAGATCTGGCAAACAGTAGGAGTCTTTCTGGCACAGTTACAGTGTGATTCAGTGTGAAAATAGGGGATATAATATATGGGATCACATCTCTGTTTAGAGTGCTCACATGGAAAACAAGAAGAAAATGCATTCACTTGCATTTGCCACATGCAGACTTTTAGGAATGAAATTGCCACATCATTATAATGCTTGCTTGGGGAAGAGACTGCTGCTGTTGAAGATCTATGAGATTTGGATGATTGAAGAAGTGAGCTGACCTATTAGAGATTTTGGAATCTGAAAATGTGCTCTAGAAGCCTTCCCACGAGGCTCTGCAGGGCATAGGAGACTGCTGTGCATTGGGAATATCTACACTGGGATGTGATAGCAAGATCCACTTGTGCGTGTGGGAGCTTTGCATGCAGATAGGATGAGCAACTTGTATTGATTTACACATGTTATGTGCAGATTAGACTGGTGCCCAGCTGGCTCTGTAGTCAAAGAAGAGGAAGAATTCTGCTTTTACTATTAATTTTGTGAAGCCACCATCAACAGCCTCAGGTAACACCTCAGGGCTTAGAGAAAGAGCCTTTCATTTGGCTTGTGTTTGCTCTGAATAAAGCATCACAACAGCAGCAGCTGGGTTGTGTGGAGTTTTAGTAGCAGTATCTTTGTTAAAAGGCAGTCTCTATTAACATTCACTTTAACATGAGGATAATAACATCCCTTGTTTTTATAGCAGTAGACTAATGACTGCCTCTCACTGTATAATCCATGTGCTTTGCTTCTTCTGACGATAGGGTTAGAATAAAGAGTGTAAGCAGACAAGCTGGATGATGTGAGATGACAGTGAGAGGCATACACCCACAAGTGTGCAGTGTGCCTCTTGCCTCCAAGAAGGCCACAGGTTGTCACATTTAGCTCTGTATGGCCTTTTCAGAGACCTTTGTTGCAAGATTGAGCTGGCTTTTACCCTGAATTTTAAGAGTGGACTTCATGCTACAATTTAGACTTCACAGATAGTGAAATTTTCAGGGTCCTGATGCTGTTCAGTAAGAATCTTTGTGGACTAGTGTCTGCTTGTGCTCGGTATTGTCTCCCACAGATTATATTGCCAGTCCTAATTTTCTGTTGAAATACTGTGGTAGATATAAAATAGTGGTAAGCTCCAGTGCACGGTCATCTCAAACTGTAGCAGTGAGATGGGAGTCCTGTGTATGCAAGCACTGATCATTAAAAATCATGCAAATAAAATCGTAGAATAAATATGTGGAAAAGAAATGAAAGGAAGCATTACTTCTGACACATTAGAGACTACCATGAATTTAATCTTTCTGCATAACAAAACCTGGTTTTTCTCCAGCATTGCCTGCATGCAGAACTGGGTACCATAAGTACTATGTTAAAAACAAAAGACAAAAAGTATTTCCTGAATAATTCCATTAGTTTGTCATTACAAAAAATATTATTACTGTCAAAAAGACACTACAGACTTTTCATATTGTTGAAAGCCATTTTTCCTATATATGTGTAATTTTTCATTCACTAACTCCTGGCAGTGACTGCTGTGTGAGTTGAATATATTGCAGCCAACAAAACAGCCACATTTTTGATGCTGATTTGTTTTTCTAAATGTGTTCTCCTTTTTTTCTTCCAGGGTTAGAATTTCTGTTATCTCTAGATTGTAAACTACGTTTTCATGTTAGTCTCTGGTCACCTGGCAGATCCATCTGTGACTAAGCACTGCAACTTTGTTTATTTCTTATGATAAAACTGTCATAGTCCAAAAGAAACCAGGGAATTATTTTCTCATTACTGTTTATGCAAAATTGAAGAAAGCATGGAGGCTTAGCAGAAGACATTGAAGTCTAGTAAGGACAGTGTATGTCCTATTCTACTTTGTAAGTTTAGGCCCAGATCTTTCATCTCACAAAGTTCTGGTCTCAAACTTCTTCACAGAAGGCTGTGACAATGCACAAATATGCATTTTCTGTCAGCCTTTCCTGTTCTAGTCTACTTTAGAGTAATTTCTAACTGTTCAGAAGAGTTGTTAAAATTTAGCTTTGGAAGGAGAACTAATTCATAATTGCAACTTGGGATATTTTCACATTTTATAATTTAGCCTAGTCACTGCTGTGTTGGGTGCTGTGCATATCCTTGACTTGACATTCCTAGTGGTGGTGTTTGTAGGAGTCTATAGGAGTCTGCTGTTAAACTGGGATTCACGAATTCTGTTATCTCACTGATATAGACCTTCATGCAAGCTAGTGATTAGAAATGTACATTGAAAAGTGTGCCATCTACCAAAAACCTCCATATTTCATAAGTTATACCTCAGACATCCTTTCTGTCCAGGCCTTAATGAGGACTATCATTCCTGAATGTAGTCTTGTGCTCTTCTCTCTCCCAAGGTACATACCACCTGCAGATTCCCTGCAGATTTATGGTGCCTGTAAAGTGCACCATACACTTGAAATGACACTTTTACCACTGGGTCAGTCAGAGCCAGTGACTAATCAATAGGTTCCTGATTTACTAACTGAAGTGTGGGTGATCAATAAGGGATAAACCTGAAAGAAAAACATAAACATGTTACAGAGACAATTTATGACCTCTGAGCCTTTGTATCTTAGAGGCGGGGCTACTACATACAGCATTCTTTCTAGTAGTCTTCAACTGAAGTATGGTTTGCCTTTACTTGCACTACAAGAAGGGATTTTGAGATTCTTCTGTTTTCATTTTTATGTTTTTTACCCCTTGTGTAATCATCAGGTAATGGGTAGATGTTCAAGTATGTAGCTGAGAGCCAGGAGCTTTTATGCAAAATCTATCTGTAACATTTGTGAGCTGGGAAAAATTGCGTAAAGTCTCTTTGAAATGATAGTACATACTTCTTTCCTAGTCCATAGTGCTTCTCCACCTAGGATCAACTGACTAATGTTGGTGTAAGTTCATAAAATTAAAAAGGGAGCATTTAAAAATTTTGTTGCTACATTATTTAAAATTAATTGGATTATTATATACAATTATATAATAGTCTTGCAGTTAGTAATCTAATACTGTGGCAATGATGCAAAATAAAAAACTGAATATTTTCTTCAGTCTACGTGTGTTTAGATGTTTCCAAATACATGGTTAAAGCTATGTTAAAACACTGTATAGTCACTATAATAGTCATGCACAAAAGAAGTTTTTAGCATTTATAAAGTTACTTAGAGGTGAGTCACTTTGGTGTACAACCATGAGATTTGAATGTGCATTCTGTAGATGTGCCACTATGTTTGAAAGCTTTTTCCCTCCAGGGATGGTTTCTCTAACCACCTCCCGGGGCAGCTCATTCCAATGTTTGACAACTCTTTCCTTGAAGAAAGTCCTCCTGATATCCATCCTGAACCACCCCTGGTACAGCATGAGGCTATGTCTTCTCATTCTTCTGCCAGTTGACTGGGAGATGAGACTGACCCCCACCTGGCTACACCCTCCTTTTAGGTAGTTAGAGCAATATGATCTTCCCTGAGCTTTCCTTCCCCCAGGCTAAACAACCCCCGCTTCCTCAGCTGCTCCTCTCAGGGCTTGTGCTCTGGACCCTTCCCCAGCTCCACTGCCCTTCTCTGAATATGGTCCAGCACCTCAATGTCCTTTGTAGTGAGGGGCCCAGAACTGAGCATAGGACTTGAGGTGTGGCCTCACCAAGTGCAGAGGAGTGATCCCTTCCCAGGTTCAACTGGCCACAATATTCTTGATCCAGGCCATGATGCCACTGGCCTTGCCCACCTGGGCACACAGTAGCTCACGTTCAGCTGCTGTTGATCAGCCCCCCCAGGCCCTTTTCCTCTGGGCCATTTTCCAACCACCCTTCCCCCAGCCTGCAGTGATGAATGGGGTTGTTGCGGCCAAAGTGAAGGACCCAGTGCTTGGTCTTGGTGAGTTTACTGAGAGTACACTCGATCCCCTCAGGAGACTTCTGTGTCTGGTTGTATTAATATGTGATTCCACATTTGAAAAACTGGCTGTCTGTGAAATGTAGCACTATTTAAAAACTTTTGAAGCTGTTCTTCAATGTCAGATTTGGAGGACAGATCTTATAGGCTTCTTGTAGAACTTTTGAATTTTAGTTGAAAAGATGGAACAGTAGGTATTTCCTTTTTTTTTTTGTGGTTGCACTTTTTTTTCCAGGTAAATAGATAGACCCAGCAGCATTCAAACAATTTACAGACTGGACTAGTATAGGAATTTCTTTGTGGTCCCTGCACTGTTCTGTATAGATACAAGAGCACAATTTGTTTTTGCATAAATACAGCATCTAAAATGATACATATTGTAAATATGTGGGTTTGGTTTTTTAAATAGATTTTTGTAATGAAAATAAAAACCCATGAAGTTTTCCCTTTTTTATATTTCAAAGGCTTTAGTATGTGATAAAAGTGTTCGTTAAACTTTCAGGATTTTTTTTTAAGTCAAAGTAACAAATTTTGAAGACACTGAAGCTTTTCAGCACTTAATCATCAAAACTTGTAGGGTTACAAATTTTACATCATGTAAGCTCACAGTCTTTAACTGATTTTATTTGCACTGTTGTTCTGCATTTTGCACATCAGGTCTCATGATAAGAGTGACCAAGGAACTTGCCAAGGGAAGTCTGTTATATTGGACAAAGAAGGGATTTGAACCCAGTGTCCTTGATAAACTATGTGTTCACATTCATTATGGTATTTGAGGAAGTTCTCTGGTCTGCTGCAAAGACTTATTTCTGAATTTAACTTCTCTGCTTGCTACAGCTACATGACTTGGAGGAGCTCTCAGCTCAAGTCAGTTCCAACAATACAGATTTCTTCTTAATTGGCAAATGATTAAGCTGAAATGGCCATCAGTAGGCTTCAGACTTAACAGTTGATATTAACAGAACAGATGAAGCCTTTCAGCCAGTTTAGAGCTGCAACAAGGCTGTCATAAGTCAGATTCAGCTGTTTGCACAGCACTTTAATAAGGAAATAGTGATTTTAAAAATACATGAGGCAGTTTTGCATTCCTAAATTTACGAACTTACTACTGTAATGGAAACAGCGTGCATGGACATTTGGCATTATAGGTACATTTTAAGATGATTCTACAGTACCAAATAGATTGCAAAATAATTTCTGACTAAGGAGCAAATATCACACAGTTTACATAAAGAGCAATTTTGCAGACATTCGTTATTCTTCCATAGAAGTAATGGTAGGACATGTCATAACACTGCTTGATTACATCTTTATGTATGCAAGGAGTTAGTTTGGAATTAATACAAAACCAGAACGTTAAAGACTTTAAAGGCTAAGAAATAATTATTCTTCTGAGCAGTTTATGTGTGAGCTCTTAAAGGAAATAGGAGCATAATTTATATTGACAAAGAATGTGATCAAAACTCCCTGAGAAACTTTTGGGTTGTGCTACTTACTAAGTAAGTAAGTTAGTAAGTTAAGAAGCTGATGGGAAGGTAGGAGCTGCAGGTGACTGGTCATTCTTACAGAAATGTGATACTGGGACTGAGTTTATTTTATTTTCTCCATAGGCAAGCAAGTGTCCACCTGGGACCACCATGTTCAAGGGACATCAAGAGGAAGCGAAAGCCAGCTGCAGCCTCCATGTCTAGCCCAACATCAGGTAACCTGCCAGTGCTTTTATAGTCATGCCCCTTTTGAGCAAAGCACCATAGGCAAAGGTAGCATTACTTTGGTTTGAAGCTAATGTAACATGTGAGAGGGCATATTGTGTTTTTGCATAGCATCAAGAGCTGCCTACTAAACAATTTTTTGGCAATGTAGCGATGTTAAGTTAATATAATTTGCAGTGCTTTGCCTTACTGTGAATAGTAATTTGCTTCTTCATAAGGTGTTATTTCCACTGTCCTAAATTATGCAGTTCTCATGATAGGCAGTTGATTAGTATGCACAGAGTGTTCCTTCAGTATTGGGCTGGCATTAGCTGGTGGCTTTGATGCCCTTTATCAGGGTATTTGTAGACGCTTTCACAGGAGCAAAAATCTGACAATTTTTGTGTAATCATTGGGTGAAACCACTTACTCCTTGTGGGTTGTGTTATTCTTCTGGATGAAAATAGTTTTTTCTTGTTATGGGGATGTAGTAATTAAAACGCTGGTCTATTTTAATGTGGCAGATTTCTGAAAAGTCATTGATTAGTCATCAGAATGTGAAAAAGCTTTAATCTGATGAACACGGTGGGTTTTAGGATGTTTCTTTCTGTCCTTTCACCTTACCCTTACTATCCACTGATACATGTTCTTCCAACTACTTTATTAATAACTCTTCTTGTAATCCAGTAACAAGGTATTGGGTAAGATGATGGAAAAAATAGAGATGTAAAAACAGTGGGGAAGACCAAATAAACTGATGATTAATAGGAGGAAGTTTGTGTTTCTTCCTTGGGCTGGTGGATAGACAGAATTATGAAGTAGGGAAGATAGCTGAGCTTTCTCTCCAGGCTACTGATCTGGATTGCAAACTGTTGGAAAGGTTCTGTACTAAAAAAAAAGATCAATAATCTGTTGTTCAGCAAAAGTCTCATCTATTACTGATTATTTATTTAGGTTATTCTTTCCTGGCTTTTGAGTATTCCATTTTGAGATATTTGAACTTCTGTAGTAAAAGGGATAGTATCTGAAACCACAGAGTCTTAGCACTGGAATACTAGATTTTCTTGTATGAGTGCTAATGTCTCACTGTCCCCTGTTACCTGTCCATTTATTCATTATTCAGAAGGTATTATGTATTGCATTGCTGGTCACTTTCTATAAGGAGCGCTTCTGTTTCCATGCCTACATGTTTCAAAGTACTATTTAAGTTGTACTTACCTGATGAGGGAAATTGTATAGTGAACACTTCTTGAAGAGTTGAGTGCATCTGGGGTGGAACTTAGCTCTGGAAATAGCACAAGAATTTAGAAAGCTTTCTTACTATGGATGAGGGAGAGAGGATTGTTACGTATTACAAAATAAGGAAGTGTAGTTAGTAGAGTGTGGGCAGCATGCTTATGCTGATCATCAAGAGACAAGGTCTGCAAAGTCTTTAATGGCCAGAAATGGTAAAGATCTCTTCCTGAGATCCTGTTTAGAAATATCCTCAGCCAAGTGAACAGCTGTGGGCAGGGTTTGCTGCAATACTGACTTGTGGAAAGAAACTTTTATGATTGGGTAACTGAAGTTGTGTCCTAAATTATGTTCTACTACAGATTCCCAATTACAGCTGAAGCACAACCTGGACATTTAACTTGGAAACTTCTGGAATCTGATGTTATTTCTGTCAAAGGAGATTTTGTTATGCAATTACTAATGCCTAAAAAGATACATAGTATTATTCTGCAATAGTGTAGAATTAATTGGACACTCTTACATTTGTTGGATATTGATGAGATAAAGATTTTTCTCCCTTGCCATGCATCTACTCACCCCCATATAAATGCCATATACTGGGGTTCACATGTGCCTGAGGAGTCATGGCAGTCTCATTTTTTTCACTTCTGAGGCTTTTAGTGTTTGTGGTATTTTCCTTCTGCAAAAGGTGAAGCACAGGGAAATCAGAATACAGGCCTGTGCCTGTCATGCAGACACAGAGTGCTGGATTTCTTCACCTTTAAATAGCTCCTTCACTGAGTCCAACTGCTCTCGTCTCACTTGTTGACCAGGTCCTGCTTCAGTGATCTCCTTTTTTGCAACCTGAGTGCCCCGTGGAGGTGAAGGACACAGCCTGAGCTGGCTTCATCAGTCAGCAGAACAAATGGGCTTGCTCTGCCGAACATCGGGCCATCTCGGATTCCACCTCTTTTATAGAGATGAGTGATGAAGAGGGGCTCGTTCCGCTTTGCCGCTGTATTAATACACATCAGGGGCCAGCTCCCGGCACTAAATCACGCTACTGCATACATCTGTTATCGGACTCCTCACCAGTGTGATGAACAAGACTGCAGATAGAGGCTTCCTCGTGTCATTCTTTATAGGATTTTCCTAAAAGAATAAATAGCTCAAATCTCTGCCAACACTATCCCCTGTCATTGTGATGAATTTAGCTTCTTTCTTAAACATGCAGCTACAAATCTTCCCCTGTCGCCTCACCCCCCCCACCATCCACAGAAAGTTTTGAGTTGAATTTGGCTGAAATCAGAAGATGCTAACAAAAGGCAGATGAGATGTGGGTGCTATTTCTCTCCTCAGTGTAACAGTGAGAAAAGGCAGCTAGAGATAATATTTATTTGGGAACCAAGGAACTAAATTTATTCCATGTCTTCTCACATACTTTCATGACTGTGAGTATTTATGAGTTCTGGTAAAGTATCTTTTCCCAGAGACCCTTGCGTGAACATCAAAAAACTGCATTACTGTAGAAGTGCCTTGGGTCTCTATTGTATTGCTGTAGTATTCAAGTTCTGGTATTAATCCTGCTCTTTGAGGCTAACTGGCCTAAATACCATAACTGAGCTGTTGAGAACAACAAAAAGTGGATAGAAAATTCAGAATTAATTTGCACTTCAGGAAATTACTTTAATCAAAATTAAGTTGGGCAAACTTATGCAAATATTCAGAGAGACTGAAAATTAATGTTTTCCACACTACACAGTTGAACAGTGTGAGCCCTAAAGCATGAGGCCTTTACCTGATAAGAACAAAAATCTGGCTGGGGTAGTTTGGCCATAGAATAAGGAAATCTGGAGGAAGTTAAGGCTGACTGTACTGGATTAGACCAGACTCATCAAACTCAGTGACCAACAGCCAGTGCCTAGGGAGGAAGAAGGTCTGTGGTGGTAAAGGTCCTTTGACCTTTCAGTGATCTGAGACTTAGAAGGCATGGATAGTGTCCTTGTGTTTAGTTACTTTCCATTGCAGTACAGTAGATTTAGAATAATATCCTCAGTGGCACAGTAGAGCTTGTCTAAAAAATACTGCATAAAATGTTATTCTCTTGGAAGTTATTCTCTGGTTTGAAAGGAATCTGACGAAGACTGTCACGTCTGTCTTCATTTGTCAGAATAGGCCACGAGTACAGATGGTTGTGTCATAAATGGTGAACAACTACCAGTCTTTACACTGATGTTTTTAATGTTTGTGTGGTTTAGTCCTCTATGTATGTAGCAGTGGACATGGTAACTGGCGTCCTAATCAGCTATTACAGTGAGTCCAGGGTAAAAATCTGTGTAAATAGATTTTTGTCTGCCTTGGCATGTATTCACACTTAGCTTGTAAAAAAGGTGATTGTTAGCAGCCTGTGAAACTGCTTATCAGGGAACAGTCTGATGAGTAATAGCAATTTGGTGAATTTTCCCTCTCCTATTTCTTGCTAATTATTCACTCTTTGCCACTCTTTGCCCAGAAACAAGAAGCCAGTTTCAGTCCTTTTCTTTTTCTCTTTTTATGAGGAAAGATGGAGAGCCTGAGTGTGGAGGCTGCTAGCAAGGAGTGCATAGTGTTGTATTGGTGGTGATTGTGAGTTTAAAGACTGACTTAGTTGTTGGGGTTTTTTTCACATTTCATATGACCTTCAGATGGAGGAAGATGATGGGCTGGATGTAAAATTGCAAGGTACTTTTGTCAGCTGTGTTGTAGCTGTATGGGAATGACTCACTGTTTTGGATTTACAAAATCAGCATTGTTTGGGTTCCAGATCTACTGAATGTGGAACCTCAAGCACTGAACTGACTTTTTATTTAAACTTCAAAGCAATCTGTCCTCTAGTTGAGGCTTGCTGTGGCCTCTTTATCCTTCATCCACTACAGAGCAGCAGATGCAACTTGTAATTAAAACACACAAACAACTATTATCTGTTGTGAGATTACAATGAAGAGATGTATTTTGTATTGAAGTAGTTACTTGTTTAAAAAATTCTGTTTGTCCCAAAGACTCCTATGGCAATTACTCTTCTTCACCTGGCCCTGTTCTGCTTGTGAGGATTGAGTGATTCAGGATACTGAGAATTGGAGTAAACTCTCATATCTCTAGGTTTTTTGGCAATCATTCTGGAAATTTGGGCGGCTGTTGGGTTGAGCTATGGATCTGCAAATCTCTCTGGCTATTGTAGCCTGTCCCATTTTGAAGCAGTGGTTGTTTTGAGAAAATGAGAATGGATTTCAATCTAGTTTGGCAAGTAGTTTCTTGTCATAATATCCTGATTTATAATTTTGGATATATGTGGAGGTTCATGGTACTGCCCTTACTGGGTGAAGAGAGGTGTGTTTTCCTCTTTAGATGAGCTTAGCAACCTGAAATTTGCCACACCTTCAGAGACTTTGGAAGTCTCAAGTAGAGAGTTAATTGAGTATTTGTAAGGAGTCCAAGTTATTATAAAATGAATGATTGTGAATTGATTCACTTTAAATATGGGACAGCTAAAACCTTCGATTTTGAACAGGAACTCTGACTAAGGGAACTAGTTAGTGGACTGGGAACTTAAGTTTTGAATGTGTGCATCGTTAGAGCAAAATTGTTAATGCTATCAAGAACCTCTATTTCAGAGGAATTTGGATGAAGAACTTTTAGAAGTTCAATAAATAATATCCTCATAAATGAAATTTTATATATATGAGGGGTTTGCCATGAAGTTAGTTGTTCTAACTTTTTTATTGTCTTTCTTACTGTCTTCCTCTGTTCCCCCTTTCCTGCAATTTTATATTCCAGCAACTTTATCTGTCCACATGGATGCAGCAGAATCAGAGCTACCAGCAACACCATCCTTGAGATCCCAGAGCTCTGAGTGGACTGGGAAAACACCAGCAGCTGAGAAATCTACTACTACTGCCTCCAGTAACTTTTTTAAAATGCCACCAGAGAAGAGCCCTGGATACAGCTAAAAGGAAGCATTGCAACTGTAAAGGCTTGCTCGATTTTGGAAGTGTTTTATTCTGGTGTTTGTCTGCACCAAACATCTTGTTTGGCAGTAGTAGTATCTTCCATATTGGTGCGTCATGCGTGCCATCATCCAGGCTGGTCTGTGTGCCTCACACATCTAAATCATGTTTGTGAATCTATGTTTAAGAAAAGGTAATCAGTGTTGGGACGTCAGTGGCTTTTAGAAATTTTCCTGCATCACTGTATTTATTATGAATCCATCTCTTTCCCTGATTCCAGCTCATATGTAATGGGTCATCTACAGGTTCTTTTGGGTTTTCAAATCTTTATTCACCCCCTGGACTTGTTGCTTGTTTGTGTATTTGGCATTTTCAGGGTGAAAGTCCCACTGCCATTCAGGAAGGCAGGAATCTCCATCTGCTTGCTTCCAGACCAGAAGGATTTCTTGCCTGAGGAATGAGGAGGGAATACTAACACATTAAAACATGGAACCTGAATCCTGTATTAGCAGAATGTTTTCTGGCCATGTGCTAACAGACTCAAATCATGTTGCTTTTGGCAAAGCAAATATGGTGCTTGTCCACGTAGAAATTGCCATTAGCTCACTGGCAGCATTGTCCATTCGACCTTTTCCTTCTCCCTTGTTATGAATGTCTTCAGTCTTTATTGTGTATTGCATGTTCATTCCTAAACCTCCTACTGGATAAGGATTTGGGAGAATTACTTGGACGTAAATGTGGGAGCTGGTGTCCTGGATAGAAATCCGGAGTCTTGAATATTATTGCAGTATGGTAGAAGAGTATACAAAACATCCATATCTCAGTGTATAAATTTAAAAATGTCTTTTAGCATTTCTAAAGGATGCTTGTTGAAGTTAACATGCCATTGAACAAAAAAGCCATTTAAAGTGTCACCTGAGTTCAGAGTGTCATAGGCATAGATCAGACTCCTTCTCTATCATGCTTCCTCTTCCTTCAAAAGTATTGTCTGCTATGCCTACCGGAGGTGTCTCCACCTGCTGATGATTGCACATTGCACTGCAGTGTACAATAAAGAGATTCTCTTCGTGGAACTTCCACTTGGTCTGCTGTTACCTTCTGTGTTGCAGAAAATATGGACAGGGATTTCTTCCCTCTGTAATAACTCTGGAGCTTATCTTGGACTATGTTTTCAGAATATGTACCTGTACAGCATGTACCAAGGAGCAGGTGGCCTCACAGCTTCTTAAGTCCTTTAAGTCCTATTTGTATGAATAGAACTTTTTGCTTTCCTCATGTGGAGCTTTCAGACAGGACTGTTTAAACTTGTAAAGTCTGTTTTGATTGTGGCAGTGCATCTAGCACTCTTAAGCAGACAGCAAAATTTGCGTGATTTTACTGATTTTGCGGTGTTCTGTTCTCTTATGAATCAAGTGACTGAGGGATAGATTTAATTGGGGGAATATGAAGCAGTGATTTATTTTAGCTGAGTATTAAAATGGGAAATGATCATAATATACAGAAAACAAACTGAATGACTTGCTAAATCATGATTGGTGGATGTAGTTAGTTATACTACATGCACACTGTGTCTGATCCCCTAATACCTACTTATTCTTGGGGAGACATCCAAATTGGATTTATATTTTGCAGTACAAGCAAACTGTCAGATCTGTCTCTATAAATCCTTCTCAAAACTTTTTTTTTTTTCTTTTTCTTTTATTTTTTTTTATTTTTATTTGGGGTGGTACATTTTAGAAGTAATTAGAACGGGGAAACCCTTTTTACCTTAACGAAGGAATACAGAAGTCCGTTTGGATTACAGGACAGGCTGTAACAGTTTATAAAGGAAGTAGTGTTCCTGTTTTAAAGTTGTCATGGCTTTGTCTTATTTGTAGCTGTTTTGAGCAATGATGCCTAAGGGGTAACACAGGAAGTTTCAGCACTGGAGGGCCCGTAATCTAAAACATCTGAAAAGAAGGTAAACCTGAAGAGTAGTAGCTTGACTATCTAGTACTCATGAATACAGTGAATGGGAAAGGTGATGATGTTCTCCTGACAACTTGCAGATAAAATTTAGGATTTGAAGCCTTGTAATCTAAACTGCATGCTGTTGTAATGATAATGAGTGGTTCCCTAAAAGACCATTTGTGAAATTGACTGGTTTTGATCTCATGGAGTATCCTCCACAGCCTCTCATGGTTTGAGTCTGTTCAACAGATTTACTCAGATTACTGACCATTCAGCTTTATGCAATAAATACAATTTATTTTATTTATATACAATTTTCGCCATTGTATTCCCTTTTAAAAATCAATTGTGATATATCTTGCTACATTCTGAGTATTCTTGAGTATTGTCCAAATAGTTTTTTCTCTTCCATTATGTCAGGATGTTTTAAAAACTTTTTCAAGAAAGGCGTTAGGGAATCAAGAGCCTTCATCACATTGTGGTGGTGGAGGGGTGGGTTGCAATGCTTCATGTGATTTTTCTCTGGGTGCAGGGAAAGAGAATTTATCATATTTTCCTATTGAGGTCAGTAGCAGTGTTATCTGGTTAAGCCCTTACTTAGGTTGTAAGCTCCTAGGAGATATTTCTTGCCTTTAAAGGCGGATTGTACCCATGGCAGTACTGAAGAGCAACTGTGGCAGTGTCTTGACAAGCCACACTTCCTGCCATGGCAATTTTCTGGAAGTTCCAGGAGACTCCAATTATTGCAGCTGCCCTGTCTTTTCTATTTCTAGGTTAGAGTCCATTTACAAATCAGTCAGATTCTCAACCAAATTTGATTCTCCTGAGTGGTCAGCAACCTAAATGGATCATGTATCTTGTTACTCTAGGGTATTTATCAAAATATATCTTCAGACTTCAGTAACTTGATACAGATTTTAGTATCTGCAGCATTCTTGGATGAATAAAATAAGTCCATTGTTTTGCCTCTTTTTTTTTCATCTAAGGCAGATTTCTAAGAACTCAATCTGCTCACATATACTCAGTGTGAAGGATACTGCTTCCCATGTGGATTACTTGAATAGAAAGGAGTAATAACATGCCTTGACTTAGTAGCTGTGCTTCTGTGAAGATGGTCCAGTACGTGATTATTGTTTCAAAGATATGTAGCTCACTCGCATTCCACTTCTTGTCCACCAGGATTCCCCAGTCTTTTTTCAGTTTTGTCTTCTCTCTAGTTGTCTTTCTCCTTGTCCTTATGGGACACTTCACAGACAGGACCTGGGAATACCATATTACTGTGATAATCAGGTCTGGGAAATTCCTAAAGTATGTTGAAGATAATTTGTAGCCACAAGTACTCAGCCAGCTAGGAAAGATTCCCTCCTAAACCTGTTATTTATTAATAAAGAAGTACTTTTGAGAGATATGATGGTAGGTGGCTGCCTTTGCCACAGGATCATGAAATGGGTAATTTTAAAATTTTTTATGTAATGAGGAAAGCAGTCAGCAAGGTTCCTACCCTGAAATTCAACACAGCTGACTTTAGGTGACTCAGTGAGCTAGTTGCTAGTGTGCTGTTCCTTGAGTCTGATCAGTTTTTAGGAATCACCTTTTAAAAGCACAAGAGCAGGTGATCACTCTGTGTTGAAAGTCAAGCAAGCCATGCAGAAGACCAGCTTAACAGGGAACTCCTCTTGAATCTCAGGAAGAGAAAGAGATACTATGATCTCTGGAAGCAAGGTCAAGCTTCACAGAAAAATTACAGAGCTGTAGTTCACATATGCAGGGAGAAGATATGAAAGACAAAAACTTAGAGTTGAAACTAGCCAGAACTGTTGTGTCAGACAAGCAAGGCTTTTTGAAGTACATAAATAGCAAGAGGAGGTCTAAGGAAAACACTGGACTGATATTTGTTATAGATGATAACCCGACAAATTGGAGTGAAGAAAAAGTTGGGGGCATTCAGTACTTTTTTTTGCCTTGGTCTCATTATAACACTGACAGACCTTGGGCTGCTCTGTCTTTTGATTTGGAGGACTGTTACTTTGGGAATAGTGACTTTGTTTGTGTACATGGAGATTGTAAGGGACACTTGAATGTTTGTAAGTCTATGAGGCCAGGTGGAATTCATCCCAGAGTACTGAGGGAGCTAGTGGTTGTTGTAGCATGCCATCTCTCAATCCCTACCGAAGGTTTTGGCAGTCTGGGAAAGGTCTATGCTGACTAAAATCTACTCAGCATTATTCTAGTTCACAAGAAGGGCATGAAGTGAGACCCAAGAAACACCGACCTGCTAGTCTAGCCCCAGTACTTGGAAAAATTGTAGAGGAGATCATACTGGGTGCTACTGAAAGGCATTTAAAGTCCTTTTAGTCATAGAATCATAGAATATCCTGAGTGGGAAGGGACCCACAGGGATCATCAAGTCCAACCAAACAGGTCCAGTGGGTGATGTGGTGGTTGGTGGCTGTCTTGGGCACAGTGACCATGAAATGTTAAAGTTTTTCAATACTGGGTGAAATAAGGAAGTGCACCAGCAGAACTTCTACTGTGGACTTCCAGTGGGCAGGCTTTGGCCTGTTCAGGAGATTGAGAGAATACCTTGGGAGCCAGTCCTGAAGGGCAAAGGAATCGAAGAAAGCTGGATGTGCTTTAAAAAGGAATTTCTAAATATGTTCAGGAGCAGCTCCATCTTCTTAATCCTCCTTTGGATGCCCCCTAATAGCTTTATATCCTTCCTGTATTGTGGCACCCCAAACTGCACACAGGACTCGAGGTGAGGTTGCACCAGTGCAGAGAAGAGTGGGACAATGCCCTCCTTCAATTAGATCATGATGTAAGTTTAAAACAGAGCAAATAATAAATGGCAAGTTGGTGAAAGAGCTGGAAGGCATATCCTGTGTCAAGTGGTGAAGGAATTTGGTTTTGTCTCATTCTGGAAAAGGAGACTGCTCTCTACAGTTTCCTGAGGGGGGGAAGTGGAGAGAGAGGTCTCTTCTCCCTGGTATCCAGTCCACATGAGCACATGAGAATGGTTCAGAGCTGTGCCAAGGGAGATTCAGACTTGACATTAGGAAACACTTTTATACAGGGGGGGTGGTCAAGCACTGGAGCAGGCTTATTGGAGAGATGGTTGATGCCCCAAGCCTGTTGGAGTTTAAGAGACATTTGGACAGTGCCCTTACTTTAATTTCTGTTCAGTCCTGAAATGGTCAGTCAGTTGCACTAGTTAGTAATTTTAGGTCCCTTCCAATTGAACTATTCTGTTTTAATTGTTAACTTCCTGACATTTCTGTCTTTTCATTCTCCAGTCTGTCCAAGTCCCCTCTTGATGGTACCCCCACCCTCTAGCATATCAGTAGCTCCCTTCCTCAACATGCCATTATTTCTGATCTTGTTGAGAGTATGTTCTGTCTTTTTCCACTGGGTCACTAATGATCTCTGAACACTATCAATCCCTGTATTTTCTTCCAAGGCACACTTTTCATAAGTGGCCATCATGCAGATTTCAAACCATTGATTGCTTAACCTGGCCAGCTTTTCTCTGGTCTTTCTTACTGGATGCTGTCCAGTCCATACCCTCCCCATGTGGCTATAAGGGTGCTATGAGAGACTGCATCAAGGGGCTTACTGAAGTCAATGGAAACATCATTTGCTGCCCTCTGTGCATCCTCAGAGCCTATCATTCCATCATAGAAGACAGGTTCATAGTCTTGATTTTCCATCATTTAATGCTAGTCACCTCTTTGTCCTTTGGGTGCCTAGAAATGGCTTCTAAAGCTTGCTTCGTGAAGCTACAGGGGACTGAGGTAGGGCTGACTAGCCTATCACTCCACCAGTACTCTTTCCTGTCTTTTTAGAAAGGTGATGTATATATACATACCCCTTCTTGTCTCTGGGGACCTCATGCAATTGCAACAGTTTTTCACAGATAGCAGTGACCAATCTCAAAATGACATACTTCTGTGTACAGGGAGAAGATGGACACTCAGTGAAAGAGAAATCAAAAACTGAGAGAAGCATGTTTTCTAGTTGTTCTTTGCACATTGCCGGTAGTTCCACTGAGCTCTAGTCAGGATTAATGCCCAGGTTGGTAAGTACTGGAGAAGACTGAATTAAAAGAATATAGTTTCTGTTGTGATGGATTTATGATTTTAAGGTATAGTAACAAGTGGAGAAAGCAGCAAAACAGGAGCTGGAGAGAAACTTGTTAGGGGCTGGGACTAGTGCTACTGAATGATAGATTAGCTTTGTGATTGTGGTATGCAGAGGTGTGTCTTGCCAGCATCATTCTTGAATAATGACATTGAGTAGGTTAGTGCTGTCCTTCAAACTGCAGATGCTCTTGCTGTTATTTTGTGGATGTTGTGGAGACCTGCTTAGTGGGCAGAGGATGAGAAGGGAAATTGTAGGAAGGGCAACAAGAAGCATGATGGAGTGCCTCTTTTATTGTAACCCCTTCTGTGCTGAAGAAGGAAGATGCTACAAAAAATAGCATGTGTGCCTAGATATTGAAAAGAAATGATGTGAAGTGGATAACAACTTTGCTTTGTTGTCTTGAGGAACAGTTTGTAACCAGAGAATTTTTCAGTAAAGCAGAAGTGAAGGATGCTACATTTGTTCAGAAAATGTATTTTAATGGTCTGTTAGGAGACTATCAAAGGAGGATGAACTTTTGTTCTCATTGTGATACTTCATTTCTGTGTCTTTGTTTCCTGTATTCTGTTCCAGTTTGTGTTTTGTGATTGCAACATCCTTTTGTACCATCAAATGCAGGAAAAATACAGTAATGCTTCTTAAAGCATGAGGCATAAGGGGACACTTGCTCTACAGGAGGTAAAACAAAATTATCTTAGGCCATTAACTTTACCCAGTACAAGGCTTGAACTCAGCAAAGAGGACATAATGGCTTAATCATACCAAAGCATCTCTTTTTTAAGAGAGTGAATAGTGTCACAGGTAAGTGCAGGGAGACTAAACTGGCAGCAGTGCCTGGAGACCCACATGTGGCTGGGCCTCAGTCACATCACATCTAATACAGATTTACATTGTAGAGACAGAAGGAACTTGCAACATCGTTCTCAACTTTACCGTGGTGAGAATGCCTTCCCATGCAAACACGGCTGTCACTGTGAGTCCAGTGAGCTGAAAAGATGTGCTCGCTGGCATGCTATGTAAAGAGAATTCTTGTACCAGCTTAAAGAATTGGTAAAACTGGAAAATGGACTGGTACAGCCTGTTGTATCAGAGAAAGATGCAAAATATATATACTTGCAGACAGTAATCAAGAAAAGTATTGTTGAGCCCTGTCTGTTATCAGCTAGAGTATTCAATGTCCTAAAGCAGAGATGCCAGTATTATGAGGATGATCAGGGTTTTGCAAAGCTGCCCTCTTGTCCTTGTAAACTCTGAAGGAAATGGGATGAACAGCATGAAAAATGCTGTACTGTGTCAGACCAAAGGTCTACTTGTCTTGGTAGTCTGTCTCTCACAGTAACCTGGTTTGCCTGCCTGGGGAGTACTGTAAAGATAAAGCAATAATATAGTGATACTTTTTTAAAGTGTTCTCTTAGCCCAGTGTCCTGCCTCAAAAAGATGTACAAACTTTCTTTGAGGCTGGAAAAGACATTTTTAAACTTTTGGTTATAGCATTTATCCTGCAGTGGAATTTAAATATATTTTTGCAAGGACACGTCCTGATGATGAAAACATCAAGTAAGGATTAGCATATCTTTGTTTGTAATCAGTTTTCTTATTAATTACTGTCTTTATAAGTAAATAGCTCTTGGAATATTTTTTTTCATAATATCAACATCCTGACATTGTTTTTTACCATGCTTTTTTTTTTTCAGCAAGGTTGAAAAGTCTTGTTCTTTCTTTACAATGAGGCTTTTTTGACATGTATTTGTATGCCCAGTCAACAAGACTTATGTAATCCATTAACCCATATAAATCATTTTTCATAAGCTTCATACTGTAAA